GCCACTGCACCCGGCCTAAGCACACTTTTCTTATGGGAGAGTAATAGAAAAATAGATGTAAAATTTGAACCCAGTATTTGAGAGTTGACCATTCTTGGCCTCATTTACCTTGGACAGCATAAATGGTGTCCTACAGCAACAAATCAGAATGTAGCCTTTTGCCCCGTCACTGTGAGTCTGGGGAACAGGAGCCATTGCCTTCTCTGGCAGACACTCCCCAGCCCCCATTTCTCCTAGCACTCCATGTGATTGTTCAGATTTACAACTAGAGTTTCTGACCACTTTAAGGGTAATCAGAGTGGGAATTATTTTCTAATAGTTGAGATGAAAAAAAAAAAAAAAAAAAAGATGGCAACCAGGTCAAATCCAGCTTAAAATCATGTATTGTTTGACTTAAGTGTTTTACAGCCAGGCCCACAATTACAGGTGGCTCCCAGCTGTAATCCCAGCACTTTGGGAGGCCAAGGTGGGCGGATCATTTGAGGTCAGGAGGTCGAGACCATCCTGGCCAACACAGTGAAACCTTGTCTCTATTAAAAATACAAAAATTAGCTAGGTGAGCAGGCGCACATCTGTAATCCCAGCTCCTCGGGAGGCTGAGGCAGGAGAATCGCTTGAATCTGGGAGGTGAAGGTTGCAGTGAGCCGAGATAGCACCACTATACTCCCGCCTGGGCAACAGAGCGCGACTGTGTCTCTAAATAAATAAATAAATAAAGTGTTTTACACAAGTTTAAATTAGTTGCTAACACTTAAAAATGGAGAGATTTCAAACAGTAACCTAGATTTCCAGCTTCTCTTGAAAATGAGTATCTGGCAAGATTGGGTTAATGACTGAACAAAGCAGAAACAGGCTGGAGCCAAGCAACAGCTGACTCCCTGGGACAGAGCTCTCCACTTGGCCACAGCACAAATCCCTCCAACTCCCTAAAATTCCTGGCTCACTGTTCTGTTTTCTTGGCAATTTAGGGTATCCTCCCTGCCAAGCTCAGCACCTTTGGTCCCCATCTTCCACTGTCTCTTTCCACTGTCCAACCTTAGGTTATCACCATTTTTTGGAGACAAATTCCTCCTCTTTCGGGTCCCAGATACATATACAGTCTTGGGGGCTTCTGGCTGAACTCTGCACGTATCTTTCTGGGTGCTACAAACATTCTGTCTCTTGATCTGTTAGTCACATAAACATATATATATATGTAAAATACATTAAGCTATACATTTTAAGATTTGTACACTTTACTGCATGTTAAACCTCAATTTTAGAAAATTAGAAGGAATGAATGGGCAATCTCCTGCCAGACATTCACTGTATGTGTCTGCAATGGCTGAAACTGCAGCAATCTTGTGACCATGAGGTAAACTACCCAACTTAGTCCCATTTGTTGAAAATGGCATACTAGTGAGATTTATGATGTCACCAAGGGTGTTAAATTAACCAAACATGAAGCTTCTCTTCATGTGGACTTACTATTAAAATAATACATGTTCACACCCTGTATCAATACTCACCTATTCCTGCATAGAATCAAACAAAAGCTTCTTGATGGGAATATACGGCCCAGCAAGCAGTTAATAAAAATTTCACGTTCACATGTAAGTACTGTTTAATCACAACTTTGAATAAGAATTTTATCATAAACTAGTAAGAAGTAGAACATAAAAAAAAGTTAAACATGTTAGACATTATTTAAAAAATGAAAACTGAAGTCAATTTTATTACAAAAGATTAAATTCATTAGCCATCAAAAAAGAAATATAATTCCAACTCAGAATTGAAAGTAATTTTTTATTGATAAACATTTACACTAGAATTAGAAATGTCAGTAGAAAAATAAAATTTAAATAATTTTCTATTGTACAAAGATTTGATCATTTTGACTGTAGCAATTAGTGAAATAACATAATATAAAAAGTTAAGCTGATTTTAGTCACAACCAGCCTTACAGAGTGCACAAAAAATAAATGCAAGTACAGGACATTTCTGCGTATGGTCTGCTAATGGCACTGACGCTTCACATTCCAGGAAATGGTCACTTAGGGAAGGTTGATGTGTCCTGCAGCATAATAGGAACTTAATTCAAACCAGAGCAACCAGAAAGGATACTGGAGGCAAAAGCCAAAATACAATTTAAAATCTTAAAAAAAATAAGGAATGGTTTAAAGGTAATTAATGAACTTTTCCTCACCTAGTGTAAACATTTCATAAGAAGTAATATTTTGTGGCCAAAAAAAAGCACAGACACCTCTCTTAAAATATTCATGATGCTCTTGTGTATGAACTTAAGTTTTCATGAAATGCTTTCACTACAAAACCCCATATTCAAGAATCAAGGCCAAGCATGATGGCTCATGTTTGCAGTCCTATCACTTTGGGAGGCTGAGGCAGGTGGATCACTTGAAGTCAAGAGTTCAAGACCAGCCTGTTCAACATGATGAAACCCTGTCTCTACTAAAAATACAAAAATTAGCTGGGCCTTGGGATGGGTGCCAGTAATCCTAGCTACTTGGAGGCCAAGGCAGGAGAATCACTTGAACCAGGGAAAGAGAGGCTGCAGTGAGCCGAGACCAAGCCACTGCACTCCAGCCTTGGAGACAGAGCAAGACTGTATCTCAAAAAAAAAAAAAAACAATCAAGAAATCAGCTTTTATGGTTAGAAGGCTGCCTCCCTCCCTCTCTTGCATTTATTTTTTAAAAAACAAAGCATAGGCTGGGCGTGGTGGCTCACGCCTGTAATCCCAGCACTTTGGGAGGCCGAGGCAGGCGGATCACGAGGTCAGGAGATCAAGACCATCCTGGCTAACACGGTGAAACCCCGTCTCTACTAAAAATACAAAAAATTAGCCGGGCATGGTGGCACGTGCCTGTAGTCCCAGCTGCTCGGGAGGCTGAGGCAGGAGAATGGCGTGAACCTGGGAGGCAGAGCTTGCCGTGAGCCAAGATCACGCCACTGCACTCCATCCAGCCTGGGCGACACAGCAAGACTCCATCTCCCAAAACAAAACAAAACAAACAAACAAACAAAAAGCATAGCTGGGGGAAGGATGTTTCTAAGAAATCAGTTTTTGGCAAAAATTTTCAAAACTATGTAAGGTAAAATGTTCAACACAATTTCCGATATTCTCCCATCTGAGTGACCACCCCCAAATAATTATACATTTGAGACATGAAAAAGAAAATCAAAGATATTCCCTATCATTCAAATAGTCTCTCCCTGAAAACATTTCAAGCTACACTGCTCAATCTATTTAAAGTCTATATATTTATTTATTCACTGGAGAATATTTCACTTACTGGAATGGATGAAACATTCAATAATTTAAAGATACCTTTTATATGTGAAGTTTTTAAAAAGAATAGATAATCAAAATATATCAAACAAGAAACAGAAACAAAGACACCTTTCAAAATGCCCTAATTTTTGGTCTTACCTCCAGTGAAAAATGTCTAACATTTTAATCATGTATCAGTATTTCAAAACTTAGCACTTAAGAGGAGGTGCCCACTACCTACTGGCCCATATATGTAGTGTATGAAATTATACCCAAAGAATGTTTTAGGCAAGAACTCCTTCAACAGGCATTTTTCAATAAGAGGCATCCTTCAGTAGAGATGATGGAAATCGTTTCCCATAAGAAAAGATATCAATTCCCCAGACTTCTTAAACTGAAGGGATACTTTTGAAAATCACAGCTCTTTAAACAAAAAACTAGAATTTTTTACAATTTGCTTGGAAGAAAGATTTGAGCTTCTTGTTAGGGAATCTGTAAGAATATTTGGCTGCATTATAACTCATAAGTTTCTGCCTGTGTATATGTCACTATAGTTTTGATAAGTTAATTACCAAAATCAATATTATTTATTTATTTAGAGACGGAGTCTTGCTCTGTCACTCAGGCTGGAGTGCAGTGGTGCGATCTCAGCTCACTGCAAGCTCCGCCTCCCGGGTTTACGCCATTCTGCCTCAGACTCCTGAGTAGCTGGGACTACAGGCGCCCGCCACCTTGCCGGGCTAGTTTTTTGTATTTTTTAGTAGAGACGGGGTTTCATCACGTTAGCCAGGATGGTCTCGATCTCCTGACCTCGTGATCCGCCCGTCTCGGCCTCCCAAAGTGCTGGGATTACAGGCTTGAGCCACCGCACCCAGCCAATAATATTATTTTAAGACAGGGTCTTGCCCTGTGGCCTAAGCTGGAGTTCAGTGGCGTGGTCTCGGCTCACAGCAGCCTGAACCTCCCAGGCACAAGTGATCCTCCCACTTTGGCCTCCTGAGCAGCTGGGACCACACCCAGCTAATTTTTTTAAATTTTTCAGTAGAGTCGAGGTCTCACTATGTTGCCCAGGCCAATCTTGAACTCTTGGGCTCAAGCAGTCCTCCCACATCGACCTCCCAAAGTGTTGGGATTACAGGCGTGAGCCACTGTGCCCAGCCATAAGTGGTCTAATTAGTCAAAAGAAAATGTCCAGTTTTTGTGATCTCTTCGTAATTCTTTTCTATGAGTTTCCCTGGCAAATTGGTCCTCCTGACTTTAGATTCGGAGACTCTCCTACTGGCTATTTTTAATCAGAAGCCAGAGTGCATACTGCTTTAAATGGAATAGATATGTTCATGTGCATATGACCTCATGGGCTGTTAAGCCTTAATCTCACAATGAAAACTTTCCTTTAAAGATGTCAGATTTATGGCCAGGTGTGGTGGCTCACGCCTGTAATCCCAGCACTTTGGGAGGACAAGGCGGGTGGATCACGAGGTCAGGAGTTCAAGACCAGCCTGGCCAAGATGGTGAAACCCATCTCTACTAAAACTACAAAAATTAGCCAGGCGCGGTGGCAGATGCCTGTAATCCCAGCTACTCAGGAGACTGAGGCAGCAGAATCACCTGAACCCGGGTGGCAGAGGTTGGAGTGAGCTGAGATTGCGCCACTGCACTCCAGCCTGGGCGATAGAGTCAGACTCCGTCTCAAAAAAAAAAAAAAAAGTAAGATTTAATTACCAGAAACTATTTTGAAGACAGATAACCACCACCACTACCACCACACTGATTGTATTCCATACAAAACAGTTTAGGTGGTAAGGATCACATTAGATACTTAATTTCTGTGATCCTTTCCCTTTCAAAAAGTCACAGTTTTCAGGCCTTTTAATGAAAAAGAAAGTTAGGCAGTAGAATAAAAATTTAAATAGCTAAAATTAAGTTTTAAAAAACTCTTGATATTTAAATCTCTTTAAAGGTATAAATTCTTTTGAATAAAAATGTAAAGGGGAGAGGGGTGCGTATCTGAACATTAAATTTTAGGCACTTTCTGGGAGTTGATACCCAATACTGTAAAAGTGGGCTGAAGAGTCACCACCAGGTAAACACATTAAGCTAAAAAATCAATAACCACTACCTCTAGTTTCTTTTTTTTTTTTTTTTTGAGACGGAGTCTGGCTCTGTTGCCCAGGCTGGAGTGCAATGGCCGGATCTCAGCTCACTGCAAGCCCCGCCTCCCGGGTTCACGCCATTCTCCTGCCTCAGCCTCCCGAGTAGCTGGGACTACAGGCGCCCGCCACCTCGCCCGGCTAATTTTTTTTGTATTTTAGTAGAGACGGGGTTTCACCGTGTTAGCCAGGATGGTCTCGATCTCCTGAACTCGTGATCTGCCCGTCTCGGCCTCCCAAAGTGCTGGGATTACAGGCTTGAGCCACCGCGCCCGGCCTCACTAACTCTAGTTTCAGATGCACTTCTATAGTTTCTCAAGGGTCATTAGTATACCAAAGTCACTAAGAAAAACTGTGATAGAATGCTTAAAGTATCTTATTTGTGCCTCAATGTCCAAACCAATCTGGCTCAAAATTTCCAACTTAAGCCATTTAATAGGGTATGAATGTTTCCAATTAAATGGAATAAAATTAAGAGAAAAGGGATAGGGAAAGGTGGTACAGAAAATCTTCTAAAAAGTCTAAATTAGCTAGCTTATTTTGATAAAACATACAAAATAACAAATTCACATCTCTTAAAATATCTTAATCAGAGGTCAAGACAGTTGTCCAGAAAATGTCACATTATTCATTGTTATCTACTTTTTCTTTAAACAGTGGAACCAAAGCCTCTACTTGAGTTATACTTAAATTTTTTTTCCTGTTTTATTTCACCAAATTTGTTTTTAAAACTATACTTAACTATTTGGCATTTACTGTCACTAAGATTTAGTAAAGAAAAGAGTTTGCCAAATTTTAATCAAGATTAGGTAAGATTTTAATACAACATACTCTGCTCATTTGAAATAAACCAGTATCTTCCATAGTTTCTTTAAAATATACGACATCTCACAGAATACTGTAAATTTCAGTGCAAAGGATGCCACCCCAGAGACACTGTTGACTTGGCTTGGGTAAAGGTACATGTGAAAACTGCTTAAATTAAATATCTACAAAAAAGAAAGCCAAAAGACTTGTTTTGGTTGAGAACGATAGGAGTCCACATAAGTCTTCAATTCCAGGAGCTTCAAAATGAAGAAAAGGCTGAGATGTTGTTCTTCACGTTCCTGTTCATCCAAGTTGCTTCCCTTTGAAGAACTAAGAAAACACTACACTCCATAATGTATTCTTCTGGAGGATTCCATAAAGTTTAGGTTCAACATCTCAGCATAAGGATGTATGCTAAAGAGTAGCTAAAATCCGTAAAAAGGAGACCACCACGACGCAAAACGTCTGTCCAGTGCCCAGAGTGAGGGCTTCAAATGGTATCATTTCCTTCCCTGCTGCTCGGTAAACTCCAGCAATAGCTGCACCTGATTTAAAACGCAAGAATGTTAAACAAAAACAAAAAGCCAAGATTAACAAACTCATGAAAATACAACATTTAAAATACTACTGTAAGTAGAATGTTCTAGATTTTTATATTGAAATCTAAAACTTACAGAAATGTTAGGTCTTCCCTATTCTTTCTGTGGACTACTCTAGGCTTTGAGTATTCATTACATGGCTTGCAGATCACTTTTAGATGCTGACTCCTTAAAACCAAGAGTCTCCTAGATTTATTGAATAAAATAATCTAGAAGAAATAATCAAAATCACAAAGATAGCAATTCCCACATGACTGGATTATGAACTCAAAAATATCTGTGTATTCCCCTACCAGTTACCCCATGCCTAGCCTTTAACAGGGATCTACTACATTTTTGGTAACAAATGAAAAACAGTCTTTTGAGTTAGACTAAGCAAGAAATGTTTCAGGCCACAGGGAACCCCCGCGCCACCTTCTGTCATACTCATAGTTCCCTTCAAGAAATGGATGGAGGAGGGAGTAGAGGGGTGAGAAGGGAAGACAGGAGGACTCTAAGTCATATTGTTATTAATTCACAGGGCATGAGAGGAGAGATTCAGGGATTCCTTCCTGTTTCCCAAGTCATTAATTGTTTTTATTATGTTAGTCACTATAACTTCCCACAAATTGAGAAAACAAAACAAAAACCCCTGTATCTATGTAGATACACATCTAAGTTACTACAGGAGTTCAGCATTGTACCAAGAAAGTTAACATTTCATTTGTTTGAAAAGAACAGATCCGGCTGGGCGTGGTGGCTCACGCCTGTAATCCCAGCACTTTGGGAGGCTGAGGTGGGTGGATCATCTGAGCTAAGGAGTTTGAGACCAGCCTGGGCAACATGGCAAAACCCCATCTCTACTAAAAATACAAAAAATTAGCCAAGTGTGGTGGCATGCGCCTGTAATCCCTACTATTCGCGAGGCTGAGACCGGAGAGTTGCTTGAACCCAGGAGGCTGAGGTCACTGTGAGCCGAGATTGCGACACTACACTCAAGCCTGGGCAACAGAGCCAGATCCTGTCGCAAAAAAAAAAAAAAAAAAAGATCTGGCCAGGTACAGTGGCTCAAGCCTACAATCCCAGCATTTTGGAAGGCTGAGGCAGGAGGATCACTTGAGCCGAGGAGTTTGAGACCAGCCTGGGCAACATGACAAAACCTTGTCTTTACAAAAAATAGAAAAATTAGCTGGGTGTGGTGGTACGTGCCTGTAATCCTAGTTACTTGGGTGGCTGAGGTAGGAGGATCACTTCAGCTTGGGAGGTCAAGGCTGCAGTGAGCTGTGACTATGCCACTGCACTCCAGCCCAGGTGACAGAGCAAGACCCTGTTCTCAAATAAAAATACATAAATAATAAAAATTTTAAAAAGAAAAGAATAGATCCAGATTTCCCATATGACCTTCCCCCCAAAATGCACCAGATAAAATTCTCCTTGGTCATAGCGTGTTCATTCACTCAAATTTTCTTCTGCAGATCACTTCTGTGTTTTATAAGGTATGATCCCTTTTCTCTAGGTACTTGGAATCTAGCTGGGGACACAAGACAGAAACAGATTTGCAATAATGCAAAATAACATACAGTGTCTCAATCACATGTTTACAATTTTTTTTTTTTTTGAGACAGTATTTCACTCTTTCGCCCAGGCTGGAATGCGGTGCCATGATCACAGCTCCCTGCAGCTTCAATCTCCAGGGTTCAAGTGGTCCTCCTGAGCAGCTGGGACTAGAGGCACATGCCACCATGCCTGGCTATTTTATTTATTTATTTTTTTGTAGATACAGGGTCTTACTATGTTGCCCAGGCTGGTTTTGAACTCTTGGACTTAAGCGATCATCACAAGCTGGCCTCCCAAAGTGCTGGGATTACACGCATAAACCACCATGCCTGGCACATTTCATAAATGTGATATGAAGGTATATTAACATATTTTAACAAGAAGAAAGAACAGTATTAACCAAAGGTTGGCTGCCTTGAACATTTAGTGATTTAAAATGCCCACCAAGGCCGGGCGCAGTGGCTCAAGCCTGTAATCCCAGCACTTTGGGAGGCCGAGACGGGTGGATCACGAGGTCAGGAGATCAAGACCATCCTGGCTAACACGGTGAAACCCCGTCTCTATTAAAAACTACAAAAAACTAGCCGGGCGAGGTGGCGGGCGCCTGTAGTCCCAGCTACTCGGGAGGCTGAGGCAGGAGAATGGCGTAAACCCGAGAGGCGGAGCTTGCAGTGAGCTGAGATCTGGCCACTGCACTCCAGCCTGGGCGACAGAGCAAGACTCCGTCTCAAAAAAAAAAAAAAAAAAACAAAATAAAATAAAATAAAATAAAATGCCCACCTCCACTGGCAATGCATACGTTTTGTTACTAACATCTGAAAGACATGTTTCATTGGGCCCCTCCAAAATTTAGGAACACAGAAAGAGTGGGTTGGGTAGAAAGAAGCTTAAGGAACTTGAACTGGGCCCTAAAGTGGGATTGCGATAATGAAGTGAAGAAAGGAAAAAGTATATCCAAGGGAGCAGCAAATGGAAAGGGAACAGATTATTCATAGAGCCTTAAAGACAGAAATGAATACAATATGTATTTGACAATTACTATGCGTCAGGGATCATGTTTAAGTACATCATATACACATTGGCTCAATCATGCAAGGGTATGAGTGGGTAGTTTCATCCCTATTTTACTAAGGAACAAACAAAGACAGGCCCTAGGAGCCAGTCATCCTGGGACATAAAGTCTCCAAAGAAGCAGTAGGTGACACAGAACACAAAGAAACTAGGCCACTTTCTCTCAAAAAAAAAAAAAAAACCTCAAGTCAAAGACACAGAAGGCAAATGATTTCTGCTTGACGCTAAGGTTTCAATTCACGGTGAAAAAAAGTTACAAATCAGTAGGAATATTACATTTCTGTATTATAAGAATATATTTATATTTACATCTATACCTAAAAAAAAGAAATACACACCACGATGTAAACTGTGGCTATTATTTAGGGATGGGAAAATGGAGGATTTTACATTTTAATTACTTAGAAATGTTAGTTTATATAAAATACACATTTATATTTATGTATGAGCTTTAAAATGATTTAAACTTATTGTTCTCATTTCTGTAACTGTGTCTTATCCCATAAGCAAAAGCCGTAACAAAACAAATGCCCCAAAACCAGGCCTGAAAATAATTCATAACATCATGTTACTCCAATTCTTATTCAGAAAATCCTAAGGGGAAAAAAATAACCAGAGCACTAACCAGGTACTTTTCTAAACAAGAATTCTTTTTTTTTTCCCCTCAGGTCTTGCTCTGTGGCCCAGGCTGATGTGCTGTGGCGTGATCACGACTCACTGCAGCCCAGCCTGGACCTCCTGGCCCCAGCAATCCTCCCACGTCAGCCTCCCACGTAGCTGGAACCACAGGCACACACTACCACACTCAGCTACATTTTTTATTCTTATTTGTAGAGATGGGGTCTTGCTGTGTTGTTCAGGCTAGTCTCAATTTCCTGGGCTTCAGCAAGCCTCCCACCTCTGCCTCCCAAAGTGCTGGGATCACAGTCATGAGCCACTACATCTAGCAAAGAATTCTTGTCATCAGAATTTGTCTCCTATCTTTATAGCAACCACACCCACATGTATGGAAGTAATTCACCAACTATATTGCAGGGCCAACGCTCAAGTGCTAGCTGATCAGAAAGGAGAAGTAGCTTCCGAAAAGATAAATTTTCCTCTTGCTGGTGGCATCTCTCACAAGATATATCTCACAAAGTTTAACATGACTTCCCTGAAGCCACTGAGATGAAATCTGACTAAATAAGTCAAAGATGTTAGCCAAGTAATAGGGCCTTGAGGGTGGAAAAAAAAATCAATACATTAAAAAAACTGGGCCAGGCACAGAGGATCATGCCTGTAATCCCAGCATTTTGGGAGGCTGAGGTGGGCAGATCGCTTAAGCTCAGGAGTTCTAGACCTGAGCAACATGACGAAACCCTGTCTCTAAAAAAACACAAAAAAATTAGCCAGGCATGGTATGGTGGCACACCCCTGTAATCCAAGCTTCTTGGGAGGTTGATATAGGAGGATTATTTGAGTCCAAGAGGTTGAGGCTGCGGTGAGCCAAGATTGCGACCACTGCACTCCGGCCTTGCTGACATAGGGAGACCTGTCTTTTAAAAAAAAAAAAAAAAAAAAAAAAAAGACTTGTGGTTAAACGTCACTCTTTCCTTCATCCTACTCAGATATGTTTCTAAAATAGGTCCTGAAATTGACTAGTCATATTAAACATTTTTGACTGGTATTTTAATGTCTAACATACTTGTCAAGATTCCAGCAGTAATTGGTCCCACGATGCCCATCAACAGGATGCTTACAGACATGAACCTACCATATTTGTGATGTCTGAGGGTGAAGAGGGCCAGTAATCCAGCGGGGACATGGAAGAAGAGAGAAGACACCAGTGCCCACAGGAACACACCATACCACATCTCTACGAGGGAAGACAAAGAAAAGTTGTGAATCACTGCCTTTCCCAGGACAATCATTGCAGAGGGTACTCATCATACTCATGATTTCATTTTCAACACCATTTATTTTTTCTTTTTGAAAAAATTTTTTTAAAGACAGGGTCTCACTCTGTCATCCAGGCTGCAGTACAGTGGCACCATCATGGCTCACTGCAGCCTTGACCTCCTAGGTCTGGGTGTTCTCCCACCTCAGCCTCCAGAGTAGCTGGAACTACAGGCATGTGCTACCATGCCTGGCAAATTTTTTTTTTTTTTTTTTGTATTTTCTTTTCTTATGAGACAAGGTCTTACTACTCTGTTGCCCAGGATGGAGTGCAGTGGCACGATCTCAGCTCACTGTAACCTCTGCCTCCCCAGTTCAAGTGATTCTCCAGCCTCAGCCTCCCAAGTAGCTAGGATTACAGGTGCATGCCACCACCCCTGGCTAATTTTTGCATTTTCAGTAGAGATGGGGTTTCGCCATCTTGGCTAGGCTAGTCTCAAACTCCCGACCTCAGGTGATTCGCCTATCTTGGCCTCCCAAAGTGCTGGGATTACAGGCATGAGCCACTGCGCCTGGCCTGTATTTTCTTTAGAGATGCGGTCTCACCGGGTTGCCCAGGCTGGTCTTGAACACCTTGGCTCAAATGATCCGCCCACCTTGGCCTCCCAAAGGGCAGGGATTACAGGTGTGGGACCACCGCCCCCGGCCTTCAACATCATTTACTTGCAAAGTAGGGTTCATCAGTCAAATATCCAAATATTGATGGTTTTAGAGGGTTCAACAAACTACTGCCCACAGACCTACCACCTGTTTTTTACACAGACTTATCTGAACCCATTCATTAATACTTTTATACATACACACTTATCTGAAAGCATTTACTTTTGTACACATATACTTATTCAACCCATGCCCTTTCATTTAAGTATTGTTTATGGCTGCTTTCCAGCTTCAAGTGCAAAGCTGATAACAGTGACACAGACCACATGACCCCTAAAGCCTAAAATATTTACTATCCGGCCCTTCACAGAAAAAGCTGACCAATCCCTGTACCCTCAAACTGAAAAAAAAAAAAAGGTTCACCTAGATTTCAAAATTGACCTAAATAATGTCCCCCGACCATGGCTGGGCACGGTGGCTCACGACTGTAATCCCAACACTTTGGGTGGCCAAGGTGGGAGGTCGCTTGAGCCCAGGAGTTTGAGACTAGCTTGGGCAATACAGGCAAACCCTGTCTCTACAAAAAATACAAAAATTAGCCTGGCATGGTATTGTATACCTGTAGTCCCAGCTACTCGAGACGCTGAGGTGGGAAGATTGCTTGAGTCTGGGAGGCAGAGGCTGCAGTGAGCTGAGATCATGCTACTGCACTCCTGCCTGGGCAACAGGGTGAGACGGTCTCAAAAAAAAACCCCAAAAAAACAAAAAGCCCAAACAAAAATAATCCTCCCATAAGAGGCACAAGCCCAACTGCCAATTGGTAGGGTACTATGCAATCAATGCCTGTTGATCTTTCCTGACTTTTTGATCACTCAGCCTTCTACAATGGATAGCTATACAATTACATTCATTCCACAATCATTTTAAAGACAATGCAGTAAACATCAAGCCATCACCTCCTATTAGGATTTCAAAGCTCTTTAGGATATGAAATAAATACCAGAAAATATAAAAGTTTGGCTTGAAGACAAATGGCAGGTAAACAACAGGGCAGGTTAGGAGAGCTGGCTCCTACAAAACTCTAATCACTGGTAAGGTGTCTGTAATTCAAGCAACATTAAGATTCATATAATCAACTATGTATGAAAAACTATGCATGAGGCACCCTGGAAAATACAAAGAAAACAAAAGCGTCCTGCTGGAATGTGACTTTACAATTTGTTAAATGGTCCGTGTAGCATTTCCCCGCAGTGAACCCAAGGCAAGGCCTTAGAATCCTCAAGGTAGCTCTCTAGCTACCCATAGGGAGGGATTGGCGGTGACATGTTAGATAAAACCCACTGTCCATCCTTGGCTAGAGGCAGGCAAGTAGCAACTGATTTTTGAGATCAGTGAAGAGCTTAGCTCAGCAGGGTTTCTTGACCACCGCCCTCCGCCCTATTGACATTTGGACCAGATAACTTTTCATTATGGGGGCTGCACTGTGCACTGTAGGATATGGAGAGGCACCTCTGGCCAGCAGCACTCTCTTCCCAGTCGTGTCAACCAAAATATTTCTAGACATTGTCAAATGTCCCCGGGGGGGCAAAACTACCCTGATTAAAAACCACGGGCTTTACCAAAGCACAGAGGCTTTATAAGAGCAATGATGGCCGTGCATGGTAGCTCATGCCTGTAATCCCACCACTTTGGGAGGCCCAGGTGGGTGAATCACGAGATCAGGAGTTCGAGACCAGCCTGGCCAACATAGTGAAACCCTGTCTCTACTAAAAATACAAAAAATCCCACAAAAACTTAGCCAGTCATGGTGGGCACCTGTAGTCCCAGCTACTTGGGAGGCTGAGGCAGGAGAATTGCTTCAACCCATGGGGCAGAGGTTGCAGTGAGCCGAGATTACACCACTGCACTCCATCCTGGGTGACAGAGAATGACACTCCGTCTAAAAAAAAAAAAAAAAAAAGAGCAATGACAGTTAAAGCTATAAAGACAGATGAGGGACACCCTTTGGGGAATCTGACACCAGACTAAGGACTTAACAAAAGATCTGAAGTGCCAATGAAGGTTTTAAGCAGTAAAGGGCTGTCACAGCATTATTCCATAGGCCCCACCTGACACTCCTAGTTGGAATACAAACTGGAAAACCACCTTTTTGCAGGGTAATTTGGAAGTCAAATGTGCATGGCCCTTGCTGCAACAATTTTACTTCCAGGGATACCCCCTACAGAAAAGCATAGGTAGGCAAGGACAGACGTAACAAGAAGGTCCCAACAGCATTGTCTATAATAGCAAAAACTAGAAGTCACCTGCATGGCTATCACTGTAGGATTTGGAAAACACATTCTGTGCACGCACGTAATAGAACACTACACAGCTCCATTAAAATATGCAACAGATGTATATATACTGAAAGGGCAAGATGCCCAAGCCACATTGTGAAGTAACAAAAGCCAGCTGCATGTAGAATAAGATCCTGTTTTTGAGAAAATAAACACAACAAACACGCATGTGGAAATGCTTCTATGAACTGAGCATGTTTACTTAATAAATATTTATTAGATAGGCCAGGCGCAGTGGCTCACGCCTGTAATCCTAGCACTTGAAGCCAGGAGTTTGAGATCAGCCTGGCCAACATGGTGAAACACCGTCTCTCCTAAAAATACAAAAAAATTAGCTGGGCGTGGTGGCGAATGCCTGTAATCCCAGCTACTCCGGAGGCTGTAGCATGAGAATCGCTTGAACCCTGGAGTCAGAGGTCGCCATGAGCCAGGGAAAGAGAGCTAGACTTTAAAAAAAAAAAAAAAAAGGTAAGAAAAAACAAAGCTTTTGTTTTCACAAGAACTGCTCAGGAAGAATGAGCCTATTGGGATGAACAATTTAAAAGAGACCAGTTAGGGGCATCAATCGGCTTGAGGGGATTAGAAAGGGGGAGGAGGGGAGGACCAGAGGCTTTACTGGAAGCTGTATTAGGGCTGTAAGCACACTGTTAGGGTGTGTGTGTTTTTCCCCAGACCAATGAAAACCACAGTTTTACGAAGGTATTTTTATTCCCTTTACACAGGCTTCTTAATCTTGTTGGGAAGCTGGATTTAAGGGGCTATTGGAGATAAGGGGTGGAGCCAAATCCCCTTAACCCTCCCTTGGCATTTTCACAGATGACTGCTCAAATTCTTTGCTCATTTTGAGTTTTAATAAAGCTTCAATTCACAGCATATTCTGAATACTTTCAGTGAGAGTGCTCAGGTCTTGTTTTGGATAAATGGTTCTCAGGGAAAACATCAAGGATGCCCCAATTAAGTCTCAATGCTTATTAAAAATAACAAATGAGGCCAGGCACAGTGGGTCATATCTGCAAGCCCAGCACTTTGGAGGCTGAGGCGGGTGGCTCATCTGCGGTTAGGACTTTCAGATCAGCCAGGCCAACATGGCGAAACCCTGTCTCTACCAAAAAATATAAAAATTAGCGAGGTGGGGTGGCACACGCCTGTAATCCCAGTGATGCGGGAGGCTAAGGAATGAATCTTCCTCCACCACTGAAAAAAGTCACCTTTAGTCAACAGTGTCAATCAGAAATTGAGGGCAGGATTCTTGGTCCTCAGGGTTTCAGGCCTCACCTCTTCCACAACAAACCCATATCCTCCTGCACTGCAGTTTCTTTTCTGGCTGCCATTAGGCCAGGAGCTATTCCTGCCTTCCACTGCCAAGAGACTCGCCCTCCCTGGCTGGCAGCAGCTCCAGAGGGGGAAGTGCCTGGGTCTGGATACTGCTTCTCCCTAACAAATGTGCACCCACCAGAGCTGTGGCACCCACAAATCCCTCCTGCCTGGGCAGCTACTGTGGCTCCTGGCTCAGTCAAGAGCAGCCTGGCCTCCCAGCTGAGGCCTCCTGTCCGCCACCCACCGCCAGCTCATCCCCAAGCCCCAGCACAGCACCATGCCTCTCTTCCAAGGCAGAAAGACCATCTTCTATCCCGAATCCTCACCTGCCACTCCCAAATCAATCTGACCCTCTGACCACCCAAACACCTAGTCTGCAGAAAGTTCTAGGATGGCACCAGGAATTCACTGGTCCAAAGTGGACAAATGAGATGCAAACCTGCCTCCAAGAACTCAGAACAATCTTCACCTGGCTGCTGTCTGCCCCTACCGACCTGAGACCAGCCCTGGGTCCCCGCTATCCAGGGCTTCTGCTGGAGATGCCAGAGTTTTAGAGATAAGCTCTGCTTTCTGCAGTAACTCAAGGCACTGCTGGAGCCTGGCTTCCTACCAGCTGCCCCAGAACCACTGAGGCCTTGAACTGGGAGGCAAAGCCTTAATATGCCAG